AATATATTATCTCAAAATAAAATGTTCAAATCACACGGGATCCAACGGACCACGATCCCAAGTGGATCAGAGGAGAGCTCACAGGCTTCCTAGAAAAACAGAAAAGTACAAATCGAGCAATAGTAACAGCCGCAAGAACGCGCGGAAAACCTGTTACTAGACTAAACTAAATGACTGACCTGTTACTAGACTAAACTAAATGACTGAACATCTAACCAAAACAGAGAACTAGCCACTGCAAATGCCTAGCTAGGATAATTTAAGATAAATAAACTCAAAGAGATGAAAATTCTTGCCATTCTTTTAATGCATTGCTCACAACAATATGCTCAGGGGTCCAGAGCTTTTGGAAAACCCATAGATTTCTTGTTTTTCAGAGTTGCCATAAAATATAGGTTGAAAACTGAATTCTGTGATCAATGGATTTTTCAGCTTTTATTAGGCAAAGGTCTGTCCACCAGTGTGTGAAGTTGTTATGGAATTTAGCTGGCCCTTCCCAATGAACAGGTGACAATCTCCAGACTGTTTGAGCTCTTGGACAGTGAAAAAGAGCATGTTCAATGATTTCTAGTTCTTGGCCACAGAGCATGCAAATGCTATCAATGTTGAGACCTCTCTTATACAGATTGGTAGCTACTGGGAAGATACCACTATAGCATTTCCACATAAAGTGCTTCATTTTGCCCTTTATTTGTAGCTTCCAGCTTCTGTTCCTCATTTTCCTTAGATTAGCAGCATTTGTACTGTTCTCTGGAATATCAAGCTGCAGGATTTTGTTAGAAATTAAATGAGCATAAGTAGAAGCCACTGTGAAAACCTGTTTTGTGTTGAAGGACCATGTAGCCTTGTCTTGGAGATGCCTGCTCAATGTGTTGATTTGGAGAAGCTATAGCTTGGCATTCTGAGTGGGAGAAACATCTTCGAAGGAGGTCCTCTTTCCATGATATTCCATCTTCTACAATTAATTCAGACACCCAGGTTAAAGCTGGTGCTGTGCTGGATTTGGTTAACAGCTTATGATTGGAAAGGTTTGGCACCCATGGTTGCTCCCAGATCTTTGTTTTACTGCCATCTCTTATTTGCATCATGAAGCCCTGGAGGAATTTTTTCTGCAGTTTTAGCCATGATCTCCACAGCCATGAGGCATTTTGATTAGGTTTGGCACCAAAGAAGTCTCCAGTAGAAAAGTATCTGTGTCTGAGAACTCTGCTCATGAGAAGTCTTGGCTTGGTGATCAGCCTCCATATTTGTTTTAGGATAAGTGCTTCATTGAAAACCTGTAGATCATGAAAGTTTAAACCCCCAGCTGCCTTGGGTAGAGTTAGTAATTGCCATGCTTTCCAGTGAATGCCAGTTTTCTTTGCAGATTGAGAGCACCACCAAAATTGGGCAAAAAGCTGAAATAATTCTTTACATAAGCCCACAGGCAAGAGGAAACATGACATAGTTGACACTGGGAGTGCACTGACATTAGTTAGTGGGTTACTTTTATAATTTTGGCCATATTATATGTTCTCGATTTTCATCAGTTAGTCGTACATTTTCTGTAATAATAAAAATTAATGAAAAATTTGATAATTTTGTCATAGATAAAAATATCTTTTATTAGTTCTCTAGTTAGTTCACAACTATTTGATAATGTAATGATTTATGTTCTTGCATGTAAAACTTAATTTGATACAAAATGAAGCTTTATTTGCCCCATATTACAAATTCATGAAGATAATCCCATTTTTTTTCCCGAATAATATAGTTTCGGCACTTTCGGGCTCCGTGGAAGCCGCTCAACAACGGGCCACGCTCGGGATGGGATTAGTTGCAGGGTCAACTGTTATGCAGATATTCAAGCCATGGGTTCAGAACAAAAGATTCTGAGTATTTGATGAACAAATATGCTAAAGACAGCTTCTTTTACTCCTCTCAAGAAACGGCAAACCCGACACTAGCAAAATACAACGGTAAGATTATTTTTGTTTTTTTTTCGTTTTTCGACTGATTGGGGAAAAAAAATGTCTCAAATTTCAAAATGTGTTTTTTGTATGATCATTTGACATGGACATTTGACCTAAAATAAATGATATATGTGTCTTGTTATAACAAACATCAGAAGCTTATTTGATTTTGTCCATAAATAAAAAAATCTTTTGTCATTTAACTGATAGTGCGACTTGTTATAACAAAATCGATACTTATTGAGTTTTACATGATTTTTTTACCAGCAATATTTTACATGGACTAAGTATTTTTTACTTATTTTTTTGAAGAGTTTCGTCACCTATCAAAAAATTGCACACTACAACATATTAAGGGTCTTAGTTATCTCATTCTTAATTATTTCATGACAAATGATTTTATATTTTAGACTTTTAGTCATTTAAATAGTCTTGAGTTATCTTATCCCTACAAAAAGTTAAAATAAAAAGAATCACTGCAGTTATTATTGAACTCTTTCCTTTGTCTTTGACACTCTACTATTTACAGGTATTTTTATTCTCTTTTAGGATTACATGCTAAGCCACACTCTCGGTTCACCAATTTTGATTGCACCAATTTTGATTAAGGTGGCTGTTCTTGACATCAATGAGATGTTTAGATGGCTATTACACCAATCATTATTAAAATTTACATAATATTTTTTTATTTTATTAAATTGATTTTATAATATAATCAAAAGAAGTGTTGATTTTTTTATACATAAATGTACTATGTTGTAAAATTTTAAAAAATAATAATAATCATATTAAAATTTGATACAATACTTATAAATATATAATAATTTGGATAATTTTTGTTTTGATATTAATTAATATATTCGTATACTATGTCTTGTGAATTATATGTAATGATGAATATAAATAAATTTTAATACAGACGCTTTAAACCCCATGATAGATGAACATTTGGTACAATTAGTAATTTACTATAAAGTCCAAAATTCATAATAGGGTATTACATGAAATATTTTGTGACAACATGTGATTCATATTCCATAGTATTTTTTAAATTTTTAACATTACTTTTAGGAAGCACAGTATGAATTGATAAAAATGAAGGCGTAGTGCCATTTCTGCGTACGCAATAAATGTAGTAAAAAATTAGTAACAAGAAAACCAAAAACAGTTATTTTTGTGTAGCAACAATTGTGTAAATTTTTTCCATAGTAGTACTTTTTAACATTATTTTTAGGACGCACGGTAAAAATTGATAAAATGAGTCGTAGTGTCATTTATGAGTATGCAATAAATGTAGTAAAAATTAATAACAAACAAACTAAAAACAATCATTTTCGTGGGGCAACAATTGTGTGAATTTTTATGCATTCTTGATAAAAGTAATGCTATTTAGTCAACTTGTATGACAACTTGGGTTACATCAAACATTATAAAAAAAATAATGCATTTACACTTGAGCTGTAACACAAGATGTAACTTAAGTGGGCTCTATAGCAGTACTCGTATTAAAATCTATATACATATATATATATATATATATATATATATATATATATAATAAGAATAAGGTCAAGCCGATTCTTATAAATATGAGAAAATAAAAAAGAATAATTTATAGATGAGAATTTTAAAACCAACTCCATATAAATTTAAATATTACTATAAATTTTTTTTTGTGTGTTTATATATGACAATCCAAATCAATGATTCTAATACATCTGCTAAAAAAAATCCTCCATGAATGAGAATTCCAAAATCGACTGTCTAATTATTTACATAGTTTTTGTCTACAAAACTATCAACGTAAATAAAGAAAACAAAGAATTGACTAAAACAAACATAAATTGAAAGTCATGTTATAGAAACTATGCATTAATGCTTTATTTTTTATTTAAATTTATATTATATTATTTGCATCTCTAGTAAGTAATTAATATTTTTGGCGGTAAATAGTTTTTAAAAATTAATTAATCTTATTATATATATATATATATAGATTTTGATACGAGTAATGCTATAGAGCCCACTTAAGTTACATCTTGGTTACAATTCAAGTGTAAATGCATTTTTTTTTTTATTTTTTTGATAATGTATTTACACTTGGGTTGGAAATCAAGTTGTCATCCAAGTTGACTAAATAACATTACTCTTATCAAGAATGCATAAAAATTCACACAATTGTTGCCCCATGAAAATGACTGTTTATAAAAATTCACACAATTGTTGCCCCATGAAAATGACTGTTTTTGGTTTGTTTGTTATTAATTTTTTACTACATTTATTGCGTAAGCAAAAATGGCACTACGATTCATTTTTATCAATATTTACCGTGCTTCCTAAAAGTAATGTTAAAAAATACTACTATGAAAAAATTCACACAATTGTTGCCCCACGAAAATGACTGTTTTTGGTTTGTTTGTTACTAATTTTTTACAACTTTTATTACGTACGCAAAAATGGCACTACGATTCATTTTTATCAATTTTTACCGTGCTTCCTAAAAGTAATGTTAAAAAATACATATTGTCACAAAATATTCCATGTAATACCCTATTATGAATTTTGGACCCTATAACAGTTTAGTAATTGTACCAAATGTTTACATATCATGGGGTCTAAATCGTCTGTATTAAAATTTATTTATATTCATCATTACATATAGTTCACAAGATATAGTATATGAATATATTAATTAATATCAAAATAAAAAATTATCCATATTATGATATATTTATAAGTATTGTATCAAATCTTAACACGATTATTATTATTTTTTAAAATTTTACAATATAGTACATTTATGTATAAAAAAATCAACACTTTTTTGATTATATTATAAAATCAATTTACAAGAATAAAAAAATATTATGCAACCTTAATATGATTGGTGTATTAGCCATCTAAACATCTCATTGATGTCAAGAACAACCACCTTAATCAAAATTGGTGCAATCAAAATTGGTGAACCAAGAGTGTGACTTAGCATGTAATTCTAAAAGAAAATAAAAGTACGTGTAAATAGTAGAGTGTCAAAGACAAAGGAAAGAGTTCCATAATATCTGCAGTGGTTCTTTTATTTTAACTTTTTGTAGGGATAAAATAACTCAAGACTATTTAAATGATTCTTTCCATTTAGCTTATTTTGTTTAAAATAAAATGAGATGACTAAAAAGTCTAAAATATAAAATCATTTGTCATGAACTTTTATTTTTTGTAATTAAGAATGAGATAACTAAGTCCCTTAATATGTTAGTAGTGTGCAATTTTGTGATAGGTGGCGAAACTCTTAAAAAAATAAGTACAAAATACTTAGTCCATGTGAAATAATGCTTGGTAAAAAAATCATGTAAAATTAAATAAATATCGATTTTGTTATAACAAGTCGCACTATCAGTTAAATGTCATTGTCAAAAGATTTTTTATTTATAGGCAAAATCAAATAAGTTTTTTATGTTTGTTATAACACGGCACACATATCATTTATTTTAAGTCAAATGTCCATGTCAAATGATCATACAAAAAACACATTTTGAAATTTGAGACATTTTCTTTTTCCCAACCGGTCGAAAAACGAAAAAAAAAAAAATAATAATCTTACCGTTGTATTTTGCTAGTGTCGGGTTTGCCGTTTCTTGAGAGGAGTCCAAGAAGCTTGTCTTTAGCATATTTGTTCATCAAATACTCGAATCTTCTGTTGTGAACCCATGGGCAATAAGAATAATCAGGCGTCTCCCATTAGACGAGCTGAAAACTTTTGTTAGTAAAAGTACGAAAAACGGGATTAATGTTATCAACATCAGCCGAACAGTGTAGCTTGTCTCAGCATCCGTAACAATGCCATAGTTACTGCCACCTACTAACATTAACAGAGCAGTGAAATTTGAGTACCAATCAAGAAAGATTAATTAATTAAGAAGTGTTGGTTAGTTAATGGTATTCACCTTTTGAGAGTTTATTCTGGCTTGCTGCATCATCAGTAGGAGCCTCAGACAAATCATAGCTTCCTAGGACAACACAAATTCATAATATTCATCAAATCTGTATTGAACCAAAGTGAATAAGTTTGATACATAATTTCCCTTATATACATGGGAGTTGGGACACATGTGCAAATATTACAAAATAGGTTGCCTACAATGAATAGGTAAAACATAAAATCATAAGTGTTTGTACATTTGGCATAATTAGTTGTACATAATCTATTAAATTCCTCAAATTAAAGTCAAAAGCATAACAGTTGACCCTGCAACTAATCCCATCCCGAGCGTGGCCCGTTGTTGAGCGGCTTCCCGAAAGTGCCGAAACTATATTATTCGGAAAAAAAAAAATGGGATTACCTTCATAAATTTGTAATACGGGGCAAAAGCTTGATTTTGTATCAAATTATAAGTTTTCATGCAAGAACACATTAATCATTTTAATCATTACATTATCAAATAGTTGTGAACTAACTAGTGAAGAATTATGTAATGACGTAGTTACACGTGCCAGTCATCCAAGATACAGGTAGAACACGAGACATGATCTCTCAATCGGACATAAGCTTATACAAAACTAGCTCGAAGAAAATTCATCACTCAAGATTCTTATTTGTTACAAAATAAAGGATATTTTGATCGAATTAATTTTTATTATGATTACAGAAAATGTACTCTAACTGATGAATATCGAAAACAAATAGTAACCTACTAATTAATAAAAAAAAAAAATCATCAACCTCATGTGATTAGGCAAAATATTGGCTATGTAGTTAGTTGCAGTTTTTTGAATATGGAATACTACCTAGACCAATTTATCGTATATAGTTGCTGGACATATTTTATAATTTTATAATCATATATATTATTTAATTTTAATTTAATTATGTTGGGTCTCATTTGCTCATTATATTCCAATAACCCTTTCTCCACCAACCTCATCTAAACGGACAAGCCAACGAAATCTAACGTCCGTTAATAATATACAGCGGTGTAAGCTTTTGATTCCACTGAAGAAAAACGGAATGTCGAGATTTTGGAAACCTGGAACAGATAAACCTCAGCTCGTGGAGGATGAAGAAAGCGGCGTTCTGTTCTTCTCCGCCTCTCCTTCTTCTTCCGGGTGAGGATAGTCTTTTCTTCTATTTTCTTTTTCATTTTTTCTCGTATTGTACTGAATTTGTGCCAAATATAGATATGAGCACGCGAACCTCGAGAAGAAGCAGAGGCAGAGGTTGTTGGGGGTAGAACACCAAGTGCAGCGGACAAACTACTCCTCCAACAAATATGACAAGCACCACTACAAACGAAAATAAGCCAACACAAATTAATAAAAGACGAGAAAGAAAAATAACACAAAAATTGATAACGGAATTCGGCCAAAATTGTCTACGTCTCCGGGCACCGCCAACCGCAACGTAAAATTTACTAAACTCACCAACAAAATACAACTAGGGTTAAATAACCCACAAATTAGGATTTCCTTAATTAAGTATTTCCTTCTAAAAGAGAAGAGAATAGAATAAAGTGCAATTGTAACTCAAAGACAAGAGACCTATTTATACTAATAAGATCCTACACATTTTTTGTACATATCCGATGTGGGACATAAAATTAATCAATATCTAACAATTCTCCACCTTGACTAATTTTGCTCCCACTTCGACTCTTCAATCCAAATCAACTGCTGGCGGTGCCTTCAAATGCGCCTCTCGGCGCCAACTCAAATATGCAGAATGTTAGTCAAGTGCAAACAATGTTCAAACTTGACTGTTGTCACTACCTTGTTGTCATCATATCTGCAAGATTCTCCATCATCTTGATCTTCTTCAACACAACGGTTCCATCTTCTAGAATCTCTCGCACAAAGTGATAGCGAACATCAATATACTTCGTTCTTGCATGAAATACTTGATTTTTCGCTAAGTGAATAGCGCTCTGACTGTCACAATGCACTAAGACGTGCTTTTGACTAACTCCCAACTCTTCAAGCAAACTTTGAAGCCAAATAGCCTGCTTCACAGCTTCAGTAACCGCCATATACTCTGTCTCTTTGTAGAAAAAACAACTGTTGACTGTAAGGTAGACTTCCAACTGACTCGAGCTTTTGCAAAAGTGAACAAATATTCAGTCGTTGATCTTTGCTTATCCAAATCACCCGCTAGTCAGAATCACAATATCCAACTACACATTGACCAACTTTATCCTACTCATAAACTATTTCAACGTCTAGTATTATGAATGTACCGTAGAATCCATTTCACAGCTTGCCAATGACCTTTACCAGGGTCATGCATATACCTGCTAACAACACCAACTGCTTGTGAAATGTTGAGCCTTGTACACGCCATCGCATACATCAAACTGCCAACTGCATTTGCATATGGGACTCTATCCATGTATTCTCGTTCTTCATCACAGTTTGGCGATAATTGGGCACTTAACTTAATATGAGGGGCAAGTGGTGTATTTACAGGCTTCGTCTCATCTTTTATGTCGAAACGATGCAGTACCTTATTCAGATATTGCTTCTGAGTCAAACAAAGCTTGTCTCTCATTCTGTTCCTACATATCTCCATCCCGAGAATTTTCTTAGTTTTCCCCAAGTCTTTCATCTCAAACTCTTGATTCAATTGAGCCTTCAAATGATCAATCTCCACTTGGCTCTTTGATGCAACCAACATGTCATCCACATACAAAAGTAAGTAAATGAAATATTCATTTTGCAGCTTGCGTAGATACACACAATGATCATGTTTGCTTCGCGTGTACTTATGCCAAATCATAAACTTATCAAACTGTTTGTACCACTGTCTCGTAGATTGCTTCAGTCCGTACAACGATTTGTTCAACTTACAGACCTAATTCTGTTTTTCAAGAATTTTGAATCCTTCTGGCTGAGTCATGTAGATTTCCTCATCTAAATCTCCGTGTAAGAACGCCGTCTTCACGTCAAGTTGAGCTAGCTCTAAATCCAACCGTGCTGCTAAGGCAAACAGAATTCTAATGGAAGAGTGCTTAACAACTGGAGAAAACACTTCATTATAATCAACTCCTTCCTTCTGAGCGTAGCCTTTAGCCACCAATCTTGCCTTGTAGCGCACATCATTCTTATGAGGAAATCCATCTTTCTTTACAAATACCTACTTGCATCCTATCACCCTCTTGCCTTTTGGTAGTTGCGTGACCTTCCAAGTATGATTCTTCTGGAGAGACAACATTTCTTCCTCCATAGCCCTTTTCCATTTCTCATTTTCTAAACTCCGAATTGCATCTTGAAAAGTGAAAGGTATGTCATCATCCACAATTGGAAGTGCATAAGCCATCATATCCACCAATCGAGCAGGTTGTTGAATCTCTTGTTTGGGCTTTCCCAATGCAATGGGTAACTCTAATGATTCTTGAGTTTGTACTTCATCATCCGACGAATCCTTTGATATTAGTTCGTCGATCATAGCTGGTTGTCTCGTCATCGCATCTATCTCCACCTGCTTCGGTGTCAACTCCACCTGTTGGGTTTGCGTCATCTTTATCATACCTTGTTCATCAAATGTAACATCCCTGCTAAACACAGTTTTGTTCGTCTCAAGACACAAAAGACGATATCCCTTCACACTAATTGTAATTTCCATGAACAAAGCCTTTTTCGCTCTTGGATCTAACTTTGAATCCTTCACATGATAGTACGTAGGACACCCAAAAACATGTAAAAATCCATAGTCAGCAGCAAGTTTTCCCGACCATACTTCCAACTGTGTTTTACCATCTTTTGCAGATGACGCAATCGATTTATAAGGTGTTGCGCGTATGTTACAGCCTCAGCCCAGTACTCCTTGCCCAAACCAACATTGGACAACATACATTGAAATTTCTCCACCAATGTCTGATTCATGCGCTCCGCTACCCGATTTTGTTGTGGTGTTTGTCTAACGGTGAAATGCCTAACAATGCCATTTTTACGGCAAACTTCTTGAAAGGGATCACTTGTATATTCTCCACCATTGTCCGTTCGTAGAACCTTGATCTTCCTTCCAGTCTGATTCTCAATTTGTGTCTTCTATTTAATGAAGACACTAAGCACTTCATCCTTCATCTTCATAGTGTACACCCAAACACTTCTGGAAAAGTCGACGATGAAAGTGACAAAATAGCGTCTTTCGCCTAATGATGGGGTCTTAGAAGGTCCCCAAACATCCGAATGAACATAATCCAAGACACCTTCAGTATTATGGATTGTTGTTCCAAACTTCACTCTCTTCTACTTTCCTAAAACACAATGCTCACAAAAGTCTAATTTGCACACTTTGACATCTTTCATCAATCCTTGTTTTGCCAATGTTTGCAAGGATTTTTCACCAGCATGTCCCAACCGCATATGCCACAACTTGACTACTTCAGACTCCTTGTTGGTGGAATCTGCTACTGTTACTGTCCCAACAACTGTATCACCTTCATAATAATACAAATTATTCCTCCTGATGTCTTTCATCACCACGAGCTACCCGGATGTAGCCTTCATAACTCCATCTCGCAAAGTCACTACCAAGCCTTTGGATTCCAAGGCTCCTAATGAGATGAGGTTTTTCTTCAAACTCGGCACATACCGAACATCCGTCAATACTCTGGTAGAACCATCGCGATTCTTCAAACGGATTGAACATATCCCGGTTGTCTTGCAACCATTATCATTACCCATATAGACAACCCCTCCATTGATCTCTTGAAAATCAAAGAACCACTCCCTTATGGGAGACATATGGTAGGTGCATCCTGAATCCAAAATCTTTTCGTCTAGATGAGATGATGAAGGTGAAACCACAAGTAAAAATTCTGAGTCTTCACTTCCACCCTCAGCAAAATATGCATCTTGAGAAGATTTACTCTTTTTCTTCAACTTAGAACAGTTTTTCTTCCAGTGTCTCTTCTTATGCCAGAAAGCACACTCGTCTTTCTCAAGCTTGACCTTGGAACGTGATCTTTCTCGTCCATTCTTCTTTTGGCTCTTCGATCGACCTCTTGCAACCAACGCTTCATCTTCTATTGCTACATTCTTCATCTCTTGTTTGTTCTTCTTCCTCAACTCATAGCTATACAGAGTAGCACTGACCACTGCAAGAGTTACATCATCCTTCCCTTTGAGCAGTGTAGTCTTCAAGTGCTCGAAGTCGTCTGGAAGTGATGATAATAACATTAGAGCCAAATCTCCATCGCTAAATGTGACGTCCACATTCAACAAATATGCAACCAACTGATCGAATGCAGTGACGTGATCATTCATCGATGTGCCATGCCGGTACTCAAATCGGAACAATCGTTTCTTCATGAGGAGCTTGTTCTGGCCGTTTTTCTTTAGAAATTTATCCTCCAAAGTCTTCCACAGAGTGTGAGCAGAGTTCTCATTCTTGAACGCATACTTATGCTCCCTCGACAAACACGAACGGATTATTCCACATGCTAAGCGGTTGATATCCTTCTGATCATTCTCTTCAACGTTGGTTGGCTTCTCTTATTCAATTTCAATGTCGACGCCTTGCTGAAATAGACAATCCAGCACCTCGCCTTGCCACATGCCGAAATGTCTGGTCCCATCGAAGATCTCCACCGGGAGTCTGACGTTCGGCATCACCGTCCTTGCCGGAATGAATGCAGATGATGATGCGTCCTTGACCTCCTTGGACATCTCGAACTCGAATGCAGTGCTCGCCTCTCCGAATAAGCCTAGAGCGAACCTTCGGCTCTGATACCGCTTGTTGGGGTAGAACACCAAGCGCAGTGGACAAAACTACCCCTCCAACAAATATGGCAAGCACTACTCCAAACGAAAATAAGCCAACACAAATAAATAAAAGACGAGAAAGAAAAAGAACACAAAAATTGATAACAGAGTTCGGCCAAAATTGCCTACGCCTCCTGGCACCACCAAATTTTCTAAACTCACCAACAAAATACAACTAGGGTTAAATAACCCACAAACTAGGATTTCCTTAATTAAGGATTTCCTTCTAGAATAGGATAGAATAGAATAAGGTGCAAATGTAACCCAAAGACAAGAGGTCTATTTGTACTAATAAGATTCTACACATCTTTGGTACATATCCTATGTAGGACATAAAATTAATCAATATCTAACAGAGGCTGCCGGTTTACAAGTACAGAAC